CCTTCATTTTGAGTGTCGGGTATTTGTCCCAGCAACGAGAGAAGAGCAACTAAGACATTGCTCTTTTAGTACAAATATCTGTGTCCATCGCTCCATCCGTCCATCTGTCTACCATCCATCTATGCAACCTATGTGAAGTGGGCGGCCATCTGGTGGACAGCTGGGCTGAGCCTTGACCTCTAAGACCCCTTGGACTTGGCTCTTCGTAGCTCTAGAAGATAGGTACGTAACACGGCTACTCGCACTGTCGCAGCGGCTGTTGAGGAGTTCGGGGCTCACGTCTACCCAGCGGAGTGCTCTGTGCCGGCAAGTGCATCCATGGTCCAACGTGGCAGCCATGGCCAGCCTCTGTGGCCACTGAGGCCTGGACACATGCTAGGATGGCCTCGCAGGACGGACGGCTTGGGGGCAGAGCGCAGCTCCCCACCACTTCCTCTTGAACGACCAGTGACACATTTCTGGCTGTCATATTGTTTCTTGAGGAGAGGGTACTTGAAAAGCTGTTTAAAATATTTTAGTCATCTCCGCCAAAATGGTTCAATAATTTCTCTGAAGACCTGCATTTCACATGGAATGCAAGTTTGAACATGCCACCAGTCCACAGAAGGATCCCACACGTAGGGGTCATAATTAGTTACATTATTATAAAGTGTATCTACTGGGAAATTGTTAACTGAAACTTCAACTTCTTCTCTTTGATCTCTGGAGAGCTTTTTGGTATTCCATAGTTCTCCGTGGCTGACGTAAAAGTCGAACTTTTTTATTTGTATTATTCTAACAGGGTGTCTTATTATACAATTAAATCCAGACTTGTGTACCAGTTATTAAAGTTATCTAAGAATTTTAATGAAATTATTAAATCCATGAGCTAGCTTGTGAGCGCATTATCCAGCTCGGTCCGAGGCACAGAGGCGCCTTCGGGGTGGCGGCCCGGCTCCCCGCCCGAGAACAAACCCTCGCTGCTGAAGCTAAGTTGTGCCTGTTTCTCTCCCATTCGGAATGGCCTAGTGCAACCAGCGCTGGACCTTAATTTAAGCAATTATAATATTCCTGGAAATACGGCCCAAATACGCCTTCCAAACAGGAAAATTCAGGTCGCAGCAGAAGGTTCTGGTTGTGTTTGCAACATCAGAGGCCAGGTGACTGCTTCCGTGAGGGACAAAGCTTCCGTGACGCTGACGCCAGTTTCCACTTTACCTGCACCCACGCTTAGGTGTCATAGTGGTGACACAGCAGTAGCAGCTTTAATGATGTCACCTAGTTTTCATGTGATAGCCTGTGATGTTCAAAATACTTGGTTATTACATAAATATTCGCATTTGAGGTAAAATAAATTTGGGGTTCCAGATACAAGTAATACTCAGTTCACAAATACTGCTGTTCCCAAACAGAAGCATTTGGCAGAATTTTGCTTCTGTTCACAAACACTGCACCAGTTAATGAACAGGACTGCAGCTGCCTTTCCCAGGATCACAGGACAAATTTATCTCATGAGCCGTGGCATTGCCGTAAATCATGCTTTTGCAGAATCATTTTTGCTTCTCAGTGGTCCCTGCTTGGAGCACAGACCCTGCTGGAGGGGATTTGCTTTCATTCCTTCTTATCGACATGAATGGCTTTCGATGTGGCAGATTCATTCGTGTGTATACTGTACGCTGATCATTTTCACCCCATCACTGCCCCACCCCCTCCTTCCTTCCAGTTTCACACTTTGGGGGTGCAGTGTCTGTAATGCGTTTTGCTCATGCCCATCCCCGGTTCCCCATCCCCCCCATTTCCTTCCCCCCCTGCATAGTCTCCCTCTTGTCATCTCTTTAGATGCCGCATAATAGGTGGAACATAAAGAGTTTCCCCAAATCTCATCCTCTGTTCAGTCAACCACTAAGCGCCACTGTGAAAGGCCAGCAGATGGAGTTACGATCCCTAATCAGCTGACCTTGACATAGGGAGGTGGCCTGCACTTTGCAGGTGGCCTGGAGTGACAGGAGCCCTCCCTGGAGGAGGGTCTCCGCAGGGAGAAGAGAAAGATGGATATGGGCCGTCAGAGCAGTTTCAAAGAGGAGGGTGCTGAGGCCTTAGGTATAGGACAAGGACTGGAGCTGAGCTCAGCACAGGATGACACAGGCAGCGAGCTGGCAAAGGACCAGGACCTTGGTCCAGCAGCCAGAGGCACCCGACTCCAACCAGCCACCTCACCCAGGGTCTTCCCATGGTCTCCTGCCGAGCTCAGTTATCCGACACCTCGATTTCAGCCTTGTTAAAGCTGGAAGATCAACCCTAGTCCAGCTGTTGGGGATCTTCTGCCTGCCAGCCTGTGAGATGATACATTTGTGTTGATTTAAGCCGTGAGGTGTGTGGCAATTGGTACAGCTCTGAAAACTTAGTTACTGCAGCAGCTAATGTAGCCATTAATCTCTCAGTGGCCTCAGTACGTCTTTGTTTATCCACCGTCTAGGCACTGTTAAGTTAAAATGCTTTATTTCTTAGCTACATAGCATAGAGGGAACATTTCAGTGTTCCCTAATGTTTAGTTGTTTTATAGATAGTCCAATTTAAATTGATATGATAGGAAGGAATGATGCCAGAAAAAACTCTTAACTTGTTTTGATCCAAATGTTTGGTCATAATTTCACAGTATAAAACCAAGTTGATTGAGTGTGTCCTGAGAGGAGAGACTATGTCTCTTCTTTCTCTCTAGGTCTACGCATTATAGACATTTAATACATATTCATTGAGAATTGCTTTGTCTTTTTACTACAAGACAAAGTTTATTTTATTTTATTTTTTTTTGCGGAACTGGGGATTGAACTTGGGCCTTTGCACTTGCCAGGCAAGCACTTATTCTACTGAGAGATCTCCACGGCCCCACAGTGTACTTTAAACGCTTACGTTATGGTCTATGTTTTCTATTTTAGGTTATGCTTTCTAACCCAGGGTTGGAAAACCCAGTGAATTTGGAAGCAGCCCAAATGCTGAACGAAGATCAATCCATGTACGAAGTAGTACTTCAAAGGCTTTTCCAGCGATCGTTACAGTGTAAGAAGGGCCTGCTTGTTACTCAGCAGTTATCCTGGGCACATTAAACATGTTTAGCAAATTAATGATCTAGTAAATAATATTCTGCGAGGGAATATTTGAATACTTTCTATACCCATTTTCAGTGATGAAATGGTACTAAGATCTCTCTGTTGTAATGTTTTGTCAGAAAAGTCATGCTATCCTTTTTGAAAGGCCATCAAAAATCTTAAGCTCAGAATCTTCACATGGCTTGGTCTATGGAAGGACAGGGAGACCTATCTGCCTATCACAGTGTGACATGTGACAATAAACACACATGTCAGGGCTGTTTCCTAACTCCCTCTGCAGTATCCTGAATATTACTAATAAGGCCCACTTTCCTTTTTTTCTTTTTAACGAAGTAGCATTTTCTTCAGGCACATTCCCTCCCTGTGTCCCTTCTAATAGCCCTCTTAGAAACAGCACATGAAACCAGTCTCTCCGCCTTGTTGTCCCATGGTTTTCTGATACTCTTGGTGTCCTGACAGTGAAATGGTGAGATTATTTCCACACCAGACTAAAAATTGGAAAAAATAGAGTTTGTGAATAAAGCCAGCCATCAGACCCTTCCTGGGTTGCAGATCTTAAGTGTCCAGCATCTGAATGCGCTTCCCCGATCTTTGCAGATCAAAACCACATCTGGCCTCATTCTTTCATCTCTGCTTAAATACCTTCTTGGTTTCCGTGACAACCATGATGGCATGCCATAATTGCTGGCTCAAAGTCTTGGGATTCTTGTTTGTAATTCTGTTTTCTTCTTACCTCTTTTATGCTTGCAACCTCTTAACAAGGGTGGGGACGGAGTGAAGGAGTGAGGCATCTTAACATGGGTGGATTAAAGGCTAAACTAGAGCTTCCTCTGCTCGGATAAAGTTAGAGAGCCACCATTGAGAGCCATCGTCCACTACACCAGCAGCATTTGGTGACTCTGAACTCCTATGTGCCCATCTCCCACGTGTTCTCTACAATCGGCAAAGCCCAGGCGGGGGCTTCCCACAGGTGACGGAGGGACATGGCACTTCCTGGCCATCCTGGCCTTCCTCTGACAGCACATAGCAGGTTTGCTTTTAGCTGGTGTCACCTCCCTGACCAGTGGGCCTTGTCCCCTGGGGCCTCTTTTCTTTCTCTTGTCCCTTTTCCATTCTCTTCCCAGGACCCGCTCAGTCCATGGGCCAGTTCTGTCCACTTGTGGCCAAGTTCAGTTGCTTCTCCGAGGAGCTTTGGGCCTGGTGCACACCAAGTGGTACTGCTGAAACATGCTTGCAGCTATCTCCAGAGCAGCTTTGGTTTTCTGGGGTCCTCAGATATTCCCTGGCATTTCTCCTGCATGGGAGAGTAGTACCACTTCATCCCTGACCAGCCAGCACTGGGTGGCACTTGCTGCGGTACCCTCCGGAAAGCGGTGCTGGCCAGGTACGCATCCCTGGCGTAGATGGAGGAGTGGCATCTGTCACCTGACCTTTCCCAGAGCCCTGTAGGGCTATCATTACAAAGAAATACCTGAGAAAGCCAAATGACATCCACATTCTGGTGGATATCAATTTTAAAAACTGGCTTCAAAATGTGCTGGCAGCCCTCGCTGTGGGCTCAGATGCGTGTCAGGGACCTGTGGACGTGCAGGACTGGAAACGCACGTCCTCCCATGCTGGCCAGGGAGAATGGTCGCTTAGGGTCCCACGGAAGGAATGATTTCCAGAGCTTGGCAGGGAAACAGCCCTGCTAGAGCAAAACAGCGGCACACCTCCGGAGGGGCCGGGGCAGGAGTTCATGCACCTTGAGCGAGACAGCGGCCCTGTGCTGTGGACGCAGGTGCGGGACCGGCCCAGCAAGGAGTTGCGACACCCAGAAACGAGTCGCCCAGAGTGCAGCAGTCCTGTCTCCTGGTCGATACTTAAAGTATCAGTAGAGGGCTGGGGATGTAGCTCAGTGGCACAGCACCTGCCTGGCAAGCACAAGGTCCAGAGTTCAATTCCCAATACCAAAAAAATTTTAAAAAAACAAAAGCCATATGTATTCGTAAAGAAAGTATTTGAAGAATTACCAACACACTTGGAGACAACACATAACCAGAACTGGTAGCTAATTGTGTAAAAGAACACACAGCAGTTAATGTACCCTCCATAGGTGCTGAGTGTAGGCAGGCCAGACCCATGTGCTCGGGGCCAGCATGGGAGACCCTGACAAAAGTACAATGAGTAAACAAAACCCCGAGGGCCAGCCGTGACCTCCGAGCTTGCATGGTCTCCTCAGTCCCTTCCAGTACGTGGCATTGAATGTCATCATCTGGTGCCACAGCCTTGCCCCAGCGGGGAGCCCAAGGACGCTGTGGCGAGCAGAGGACCACAGGCAGCCCACTGCAGAGCCAGGTCTCCGTCTGATCCCACCTCTTCCCCGCTTGCCCTGGCCCCCCAGCGTAACAGGGCAAACGTCAAGCCACTCCTTCAGGGTCGAGGAATTAAATGTGGAAGCTGACTCGGGAGCAGAGCTTGATTCTGGGCACTCAAAGGAGTGACAGCACGTCCCTTACGGATCACGTGTTGCGTGATTTTTACCTTCATCTGGAAAATTAACATGCTGTTTGCAGCCCTCAATTTCTGGTGGTCACAGAAACTGTATTTGGCCAGTAGAAAAAGGGTCAAAGGCAGTAGCAAAGCTGTGTTCAAATATTTGAAGGGATTTCTTGTAGAAAGTGTTTTTCAGTGTCACCAGAAAACTGCAGTAGAAGGAGTCCTTCCAGATGGTGGTCACTAAGGCCAGAGTTTGGCGGGCTTGGCCCTGTCTGTGTCAGGTGTCCTGAATATGCTGGAGATTCTTCTCTATAGTGGTTTGTCTGGAATTAATTTTGTCACCCTCAGCCTTCGCTGGGCATTGAGGACACATCCAACAGGCTCTTCCTAACATCTCTTGTGCTTGCTCAGCCTGCCCAGCTAGTGAGGCTGCTGCTTGGCCTATGGATAGGAAACACACCAAGCCCTGAGGTCACACCCGGTTGGTGGCGCGGTGACCTGCTGTGGCCTGCTGGCCACCTTTCCCGGTGCGCCGGCCCTGCCGCCCTTCCTTAGAGCACTCACGTGCCGAGGCTGCTGGCTCTGCTTGGGGCCAGGGATTCCAACAGCCCTTTCACCCACAGTGTGCCAGTCAGCGGGATGCCAAGCTGACCTTCCCGATGAGCAGATGCTGCCAGGGCTGGATCGTTAACCATGAACTCCACTTGGTGCCTGCTAGCGACGCTCCAGGGAGAATCGCCTAACAATTTGGTCGTTTCCAAGAATGGACAAGGCCAGATCTGCGGGTAGCACAGTCCCTATCAGTAGGGAATTCTGTCACACCTGGGGCTGAGTTCAGTCACACGCCATCGGCCAGCCGATGTGAAGGGCGGCTTGCTGGGTGCCGGAGCTGTACACGAGGCCTCCACCTCACCTCCCGAAGCCCACAGAAGTGGGAGGAGGGGAGGTCTGCGGTACCAGCAGCCTGCCCTGCAGACCATGAGGGCTGCCTCCTCCTGCTTGTGTGCAGGGTCTCCGACGAGCTGTAAGCTGTGGGCCCCTTATGAGTTGTGAGTTCTGGTTCTTGTGTGGCCAAGTAAGATTTGTCTGCTGCACACCATGGTGGTTTTTCTACTTTACAGTCAAGGTTTAATGAATTTAAAAAGCATTTAGTTGTAGGAAAATCCAGGACTATAAAACTAGGAAAGCTGAGTAACCGTAGGCAGCCAGAGAGAATGATTCTGTCTCTTAGCCAAGAACATTGCTATAACTTTTGAAAAATAAATCAATTAGCAAGGTACAGATACTTATCTAAATAAACGGAAACACAATAACTAGCAGATGTGTCACCCCTAGAACAAAGGGAATTACAGAACTATTGGGGAGACTGAAGTGCTAATTTGTATTTTTGCTCTTGAATAGCCCAGTGGCTGTGCAAATGCACACTGCTCTGCACATGGCTCAGCAAATGTTGTGATGAGCACTTGGCTCCGTTCCAATTCAAACTCCCAACTAATGCACTGTCACTTTTAAATCCCCTTAAAAATAGAACAATTTTGAAGAAAATTACCGAAGCAAGAGGTATCTCATAGGATCTCAGGGATCTGCCTGCTTCTTCCTTCTTTCTCCTTTGAAGGAGTATATTTTTGGGTTACATGTAAGAGCACCCCTTCCTGGAAAATATACATTCTGACATCAGGGGAGAAGAAAGCCAATCTGGTGGTTCTGCCCGGTGCTAGAGCGTGTGAGTGATAGTAGCTGTGTGCACAGCCA